CAGCGCCATCAGCCCCTGCGTCCCTGCGGCTTGGCGAGAGCCTGGCGATCCCCCGGGCCCGCTGCCCCGCGGGCGGCACCCTCCGCAGCCGGGGCCGACCGGGCCGGGCCGGGCCGCTCTGTGCCCTGAGGCGGCGCCGCACACACCTGCCGCGCCCGCGCCGCCTCCTGCCTCCATCCTCAGGCTCCGGCTACGCCCGGCTGTAGGCGGCGCTGAAAGGAGGGAGAGCTCCCTCACCCGCTCCCTGTGCCCTCAGCCGCGGCCCCGCCCCGCCCCGCCCGGGGTGACCTGGGTCCCGGCGGCCTCCCAGCCAGCCCGGCACTGGCTCCGTCTGGCTGCTCAGCCCCGGCCTGGAGGAGTTGTGTCCTGTGCGGGGCGGGACAGCTGAGGGGGAGCGGGGAAGAGTTCAGAGGGGACAGGAGCAGGCCAGAAACGCCCCTTGGGATACACAACTGGCTGCTATACCGAAGGAGGCAGCTAGAACCAGCCACAGGGGAGGGGACAAGAAGTCACCAGGGGCTTAAATTGCCGCAGAGAAAGGTTGGGCTGGTGGCAAGGGACAAGGCTGTCCGGAGAGTGGCCCAGCAGGGAAGAGGTGAGCAGCTGGGGGACGTGGACCCTCTGCCAGGGGATGGTTTTAAGCAGGGGTTAGACAAACACTTCGCTGGGATGGCCTACATGAGGCCCATCTTGCCTTCCACAGGGGATAGCCTAAGTCATCTCCTGAAGTCCTTTCCAGCCCTGTTTTTCCTAGGATCAGGGCTCTGAGGCACATGACCTATGAGTAGGGGTCTCTGTTGCCCCCACAGCACCCCCCCCCCAGCAGCCTAATTGGCACATGGGCCTTGCCAGCTGGGCCACTTTCCACTGGTTGCCAAGAAAGCAAAAACCGCAGTTTTAAATATGCTGTGGTTTTTGCCTCCTCCCCACTGATTGGTGGAGGAACACTGGTAGTACCACTGCTTGCTGCTGATTGACATCTAGAAGACAGCGGTTTCCACTTCCCCAACAATCAGCAGCAAACAGCCTGGCCAGCGGGCACCTCCATCAATCAAGGCTCGGGGCAAGCGGTGAAATGAAAAGAATGATGGAGATCCCTTCTTCTGAGGAGAGGCTGATGAAACTGGGCTTGTTTAGTCTATGGAAGACAAAGCTTAGGAGGTATTTAATAGCAGCCTTCAACTTCCTGAAGGGTGGTTCCACAGAGATGGAGCTAGACTGTTCTCAGTGGTGGCAGATGACCGAACAAGGTTTCAAGTTGCAGCAAGGGAAGTTTAGGTGGGATATGAGGAAAACTTTCTCACTAGGAGGATAGTAAAACACTGGAACAGGTTACCTAGAGAGGTGGTGGGACCTCCATGCTTAGGTTTTTAAAACCCTGCTAGGCAAAGCCTTGGCTGGGATGATCTAGTTGGGGATGGTCCTGCTTTGAGCAGGGGGCTGGACTAGATGACCTCCTGAGGTCCCTTCCAAGCCTCATTTTCTATGATTCTATGATGCTCTCATTCTGTGCTAACTTAGTTCATATGGGGGAGGCACCCTGCTCTTGAAGCATGGTATTTATTGAGAGGCTACTCATCTTTTATTTCAGGAAAATCCAAGAATACAGGTTTCCCTCACTTTATGCGGGTTTTGTATGTGCAAATTCACTTCTATGCGATGACCCTTTCTATACCAAAAATGTGTTATATGCAAGGCAAATTCACTCTTATGCAGTCGATGTGGTGAAAGCCCACAGTCAGCTGCTTTGTGCAGCACATTATGGGAGGGTCAAACATCAAAATATAGCCTCCTGTGTGGATCTGTGCTCCTTGTTCATTGTCTGTGACACATGTTTCTGTAGTTGCCATCCCCATGATGGTAACATTCACCACCACTCTTGTGCACGTGTGTACTGTCTGCTGTTGGCGAGTACCAAAATAGTTTTGTAAAAGTGGTAGAAATGGGTCTGGGGTCAGTACAGTTGAGGTCTTGGAACATTTCCCTATTTGTTGCATTGTAAAGTGGGTTCCCTGTATGCGGATTCGAGTTATGCACCATTTCCCAGGAATGCATGTGTACATAAACCGAGGGAAACCTGTATCTTTCAGGAGATGCATCCTATTTATTTTGGTGCTAACATTTATGTGATGGGGGTTGTCACGTGCTCATAATACCAGAGTACAATCACAGAACGTAGGGCTGGAAGGGACCTCATAAGATCATCTGGGCCAGCCACTGCCTCTAGGCAAGATCATCCCTGGTTAAACCACCCCAGGCAAGTGTTTGTCTTCCCTGCACTGCCAAGCATGGAGATTCCACAACATCTTGAGATAATCTGTTCCAATGCTGAATCTTCCCAGTCCACATAAAGTTCTTAATATCTAACCTAAATTTCCATTGCTGCACCTTATAACCAATATTTTTCATCTTATCCCCTGCAACCAGAGAAAAAAAGTCTACCACAGCCTTCTATCTAGCCATCTTTCAGATATATGAAGACTATTATTAAATCCTTCTCAGTCTCCTCTTCCCTACACTAAGTGATATCCAGTTATTCTAATCGTTCCTGTTACTTCATATTTTCTAAATGTCTGATTGTTTCTGTTGTCTTATGTTGGACTCTTGAGTTTGTAACCATCTTTCTAGAAGTGTGATACTCAAAACTGGACATAGTACTCAAGGTGAGCCCTCACCAGTATGCAATCAAACAGAAGAATCTCTTTCATGAGCAACTCCTGTCAGCAACAGCCAGACCAATGTGCTATTAACATTTTTTGCAATAATACCTCATTGCTGGCTCATATGCATCTTGTAGTTGTAATTTCCAGGTCCTTTTCTGCAGTAGTGCATTTATTCTCTAGTTTGTGTTAGTACATGCAATTGTTCCATCTTTATACTGAATTTAATTTGACTAATTTTAGAAAATGTCTCCAGGTTATCAAGGTCATTCTGAATCCTAATCCTGCCCTCCAGGGTGTCTACAGCCCCACCCAGTTCAGTGTCATCTGGAACTTTGCTAAGTATTCATTTGGTCCCAGTTTTAAGCACTTATTTAAACTTAAAATATGCCTGTTTCTCCCACTGAAGTATTGGAAGCTATTAATTCATTTCTGCCAGAGTTCTGAAGCCACAGACAAAAGTATCCTTTGCTGGAGAGAGGGCAGGAGAAGGATTAGACTTGAGAGTTGTACCTAACCCCAGCAATGAAAGTTTTAGAGCAAGTATTTTTTTCTGTATTATTCTACTTCACCTGCTTTTGAAAGTCAGATTCCACACAATCAATAACTTCCTTTAAGCTGCTGATTTGGCCCATAGCAGTGTTCCTTTTCCCCAAAAGTACTTTTCTACTTCAGTTGCTGCAAAAATAGTGATCAGCTTATTCCAAGTTAACAAACAGCAAAATCAGATCCAAATTCTTAAAACAGAGGCAGGGGAAGATACTAGAACGGTGATTCTCAGCTGGGGTTCTGGGAGAGCCTTCTAAGGGTGCCAAGGTGCCAAGGCCTTTTTGTCAAGAGGTAAGCGAACACTTTTCCTCCTGCCAGGTGCCCTAGCAACCTGAAGTCATCCCTCCTAAGTCTGCTCCCTGCCAGTCCCCATACACCTAAGGCACACAGATAGGAGAGCACATATGGGGCCACGTTTATCAACCCAGCACTTTCCCCCCACTCCTTGCATGCTCCCAGAGGGGTTGTGGGTGCACATATCTCTGGTCACAGGCATGCAAGGCAGCCACCCTGACCTGGAACCAGCTGGGCTCTAGTTCAGGGATTCTTAACTTTCAGAAAGTTACGGAGGCATTCCTTAAAACTGAAAAGGTTGAGAACCACTGTTTTAAATACAGATGCCAACCCTACATTTGGTTTTCTGGTGGCACACCTTTTAACATACAGTATACAGAATTGCATTGCTTGTGATGTTCTATACAAAGTTGGGGTCCAGCTCTGTGAGATAAACTGGACAATCATGGTCTTGAAGGGGAGAGCAGATGGGAAGGAATGAAACTGAGAGAAAGGTAAGTAGTAGAATGAAGGTATGGACTAGTTCTACTTTGTGGCATATGAATAAATTACTGATATCTTTTTAATTTTCTGGTTTTGCCTCTCATTGCTTCCTGGTATCAACATTAAAATAAATGTTCCTCCCCCCTCCCCATCACCATTTATAATCACTAATATTAATTCATATTTTTGGGGGAAATATTATGCTGTTTTATGCTTGCCCTCAATCCAAATCATTACTTTTTACAAGCTGCATACATTTCCATTAGCCCATTAATTAATTATAGAATCAGTGCTTTCTAAAAAGTGTATTTCACATAGATAAGTTTTCAGGCAGTCCTTCTGTGTGCATAATCTAAAGCAGCTTTTCCTTCTAAACTTCAAAATCTTTGTTTTATTCAACCTAAGAAATGTATGTTGTGCTGTGTTCAAAGAATTGCAATCAAAGATCAAGCTCGGCTCACCACCTTCAAGAGAAAAAATGTGCTTTATACACAGTGGTATCCATTTTTGACGCAAGCATCCAGCCAATATTTAAGGATTTATAGATAATACAGCTTAGAAGAAAGTTATGTTGGGAACACTGTATTTATGTAGTTTTGTTTGTTTATAGCAATGTACAAAGTACTTTTTTCTTGAATTGAGGAAGGATCAAACAGGTAGAGGTTGTTTCCATTCTCATAGCACTAACCCTTGCCAGTAAGCACCAACCTAACCCCAGATCCACTCTTCAGGCTTTTACTATGGTCACACAGCAATACTTGCCCTGGGCTTTTCCCCCCAGCAGTTTCTGTTTATCTCTCTCAGCAGTCTTAGTTTAAGATCAGCAGTTAAAGCCATCAGTCTCAATAAGGTCAACTCAGACTCTAATAACTTTATTATATAATAAATGATACAGACACTATGGATCTAGTTCACTGTGAACACTCCATTACAGGAAATATTAGCCTCCTCCCAGTGAGACTTCCACATTTATATTTATCATTCTTTCTTATTTGTATCTGATGGATGAGAAAGAAGAAAAAATGACGAAGAATAAGTATATATAAAAAGGGCATATCTCAGGCTTCAGAACACGATGATCCATTCTTTGGAATGTACCAAGCGGAACATGCCTTTTATTTTAGGTTTTAAAAGAAGTTTGACAGTCCATGTATTTTAAAGGTAGTGGGAAAAACATGTGGGGGCAAAAAAACCCAAACAAGCAA